TCTTTAACAAAAATAAAGGCATGCAGATCATTGCATGCATATACAGTATTCAATGACAAAAATAAAGGCATGCAGATCATTGCATGCATATACAGTATTCAATTATCATTCATTACAATAGTGGTAGCCAAAAGATTAGCAAAATTTGGCTCAGGAGTGAGAGCCGCTTGGTGCTGGTCGGCGCCCTGGCCATGCCTTTGGAGTTGGTCCTGGCCACCACCCTGGGCGTGACCATAATACTGGCCAGCACCCTGGGGATTGCCGAGCTGCTGGTCCTGGACCTGGCCACCATGGCCAACACCCTGGGCATTGCCGAGTTGCTGGTCCTGGACTTGGCCACCATGGCCACCATGGCCAACACCCTGGACCTGCTGCATCTCCTGCAACTGCTCCCACTGCGGAGCGGCCCTGGGCTGCAGACGGTGCTCCTCATTTTCTCTGCGAACAGAAATAACTGATTCAGTTAGGCTGTACCGCATGCACGCGTGCGTGCGGGTTGCCTACCCGCACGGGCAGTACAGGCCCCTGATGGGCACTGACGCAGTGGCGATAGATGGTGGGACAACAAACCATTCTGGCAAAGAAGAAGAATAAAATCCGTGGGAACACGAGAACTGAAGTCACCATCTTACTCCACTGTGATTTCAGTTTTCTTGTTCATCGCACTCTTCATTTACCGGAATGGTTTATTGCTTTACCTCCTGTGCTGTCTGCGAATGGAGGATTCGGCAAGGGAAGAAAATCGTCCTCCAACGAGTTTTTTGCGGCAGGTATCCATTATGCCATTCACGACATTTGCGTATCCCATTTTGGGTTTGTACCCTCGGTGGTCCATGTACACTGAAAAAAAGTAAAATAGTCAGACTGAAATGTCAAGTATTTCTTTCGTATTTTTATTTGTTCGTAAAAAACTAAACTAATTACCTTTCACAGCCTCAAAAATGGGTTTTGGGAGTCCAACTGTGCCTGGTGAACACAATCCCCTAGCTGTGAGGTGGGGCAACGCAAGGACCCGTTCGGGCACCAACGCCCTCCTACAATCCCATCTTATTTCCTCTGTACTGGCGATGCATGGTGGAGAGGTGTGCACATTGAAAAAGCATGGTATGCCAGGTACAAGTGGTTTCTAAACAGAAAAACAAATTAAAAAAACCACATGGGCGTTAAATTTGGAATTTAAGAAATAAAATTAAATAACTGATAAAAAAGTGTTTAGTGGACGCTGCAGTGTTGCAGGTGTCTACAAGGGCACGCAATCCCGCAACACAGCAGCGTGATACACCCGTTACTCACTTCACTCACTGGGTCCAACTGACGGAGACACGGCAACGACCAGAGAATCTTCCGCACATCTTCTGCAGATGCATTTGAAGGAAGATTCTTGGCCATTGCAGTGACCTGGTCCAGGGTCCACACCCTCTCCGAGATTATGCCTTCATCTGGCTTGAGGGGCTCAGCCTGCTGGTCAGGATTGATGGCGATGTCCCAGGAAGCGTTGTCGTCAACTAAAAGATTGGTGAGGAACAAAAAGTTATTGTTAGTTTACTATCAGGAAACTCCGGCCGATTTGCAGCTAAATGATACTTACGGATAGCATCGTAGGCGTCAGCATCAGCAATCGCTTCCGCCTCCTCGCGCAAAGTTGACACAGCGTGATAGTGCTCGCACTCCCTCCTAGTTGGAATGCACGGCCCTCCCTCGGTCACTGTGCCGTCCGGAGACACCCGCAGCAGTTTCAGAGCTCTTTCGGCACCTTTAAAAGAAACAAACAACTAAAATTTCAGCACCATGAGAGACGAGAGCACGAAACTTGGGACAAAGGCAAACAGCGGCCCGACAACGTCCGATAGGACAGCCAGGACGGCAACTTGCGCAGAACAGGGTGGCCTGGGTCTGGGTCCAGACAGTGTCTCAGAACGGCGGCCTGGGTTGTGCGAGGTTAGGCCATGCAAGGGGGTTGGGCCGCAGGGGCGGACGACAGCGGGGACGACCAGAACAGACACGACGGCGACGTGCACTGGGTGGGCAGGAGTGGGTCCGGGTGGTGTGGGCTAAGGACAAGCATGGGGCTGGTGGGGGTGAGATCGGGTGAGATCGGGCGAGATCGGGAGAGGTCGGGCGAGGTCGGGCGAGGTCGGGCAAGGTGGGCGGGGGTAGAGCGAGGTGGGTTAGAGGTCGGGCGAGGTGGGCGCGGGGTCGGGCGAGGTCAGGCGAGGTCAGGCGAGGTCGGGCGAGGTGAGCACGAGGTCGGGCGAGGTAGGGGGGGTCGGGCGAGGTAGAGGGAGGTCGGGTGAGGTGGGCACGAGGACGGGCGAGGTGGGCGCGAGGTCGGGCGAGGTCGGGCGAGGTGGGTGCGAGGTCGGGCGAGGTTGGGCGAAGTCGGGTGAGGTGGGCGTGAGGTCGGGTGAGGTGGGCGTGAGGTCGGGCGAGGTCGGGCGAGGTCGGGCGAGGTCGGGCGAGGGGGACGCGAGGTCGGGCGAGGTGGGCAAGGTGGGCGAGAGGTCGGGCAAGGTCGGGCGAGGTCGGGCGAGGTCGGGCGAAGTCGGGCGAGGTCGGGCGAGGTCGGGCGAAGTCGGGCGAGGTCGGGCGAGGTCGGGCGAAGTCGGGCGAGGTCGGGCGAGGTGGGCGCGAGGTCGGGCGAAGTCGGGTGAGGTGGGCGCGAGGTCGGGCGAGGTGGGCGCGAGGTGGGCGCGAGGTCGGGCGAGGAGGGCAAGGTGGGCAAGGTGGGCGCGAGGTCAGGCGAAGTCGGGTGAGGTGGGTTTGAGGTCGGGCGGGGTCGGGCGAGGTGGGCTGGAGGTCGGGCGACGGCGGGCGACGGCGGGCGACGGCGGGCGACGGCGGGCGACGGCGGGCGACGGCAGCCAGGATGACGACCTGTACGAGGACGCTGGTCCGGGTGGTGTCGCATAACGACGCCCAGCGTAGAGCGGGCTAGGGATAAGCATGGGGGATGTGGGCGCGAGGCCGGACGACGGCTTGGTCGGCGCTGTGCACGGGCTAGGAGCTGCTGAAAGATGCTACGATTCTACAAGCCATATTATTGTCTGAATTTACCTTTCTAAATGATGATACACATTCGCTGGGTCTCGGCCTTTCCGCATTTCACAGCACGATGTTGGCCCTCCTCGATGATATCTTGCGCGCCGTCCACCACAATCTTGTCCTGATGGACCACATCCCTGCACGGACCCAACTTGCAGTCCGTCCATTTTACTAGTGCAAATACGCCTCGACGGCGAGGCACGGGCGCGGGGGGCACTTGAGGGTCTCCTGTCTCAGCCATATCTGAAGGGAAGACCAAATTCAAAACTCCAAAAGACACACACAGCACTGCACACGGACACCTTGGGGCATTCAACCTCCGTTGTGAGTGCGAGTGAGACAACACTAACAAACACTAACAAGAGCTCGGTCTGGGCAACACAAATGGAAATTTTCTTAACACTTACAAATGTTATACACGTCGTACATTTTAAAGTCTGTCTGTCTGTCTGTCAACACTTACAAATGTTATACACGTCGTACATTTTAAATCTTTAAAACAGAACTTGTTCATAAAAATATTTTTAGAAGGAGCGTTACTTACGAATCAGCCTGCCTCTTCAACAATAAGGCGAATTCCCTCCGCGCTTCAACCAACAATGTTGGCAGTGCTGGGCTGTGCCGTGAACGCGTTCGGGAGATGGCGGTGGGGAGGTGGTTATTTTTTGTTGACCGTGTGTGATTTTCCTTACGTCTTGCCATTAAGTTCTTTTGAAACGCCTTAGTTTACTTTTCCTTAAAACTAAAAGTGTCATGTCAAATTTTCAAAACATTTCTAAACGTCAAAAAGTACAAGATGACGCAGAGAAAACTAGCCCTGGCAGGTAAGGAAATAGTGCCATAACCTCTGATGCTGCCGGTTCAGCTTGATTACTTGGACATAGCACGATTTGTTACAACTAATTTTCTTTTCAGACGAGAGGTGGCAAGTGAGAGTGCCTGGGACGCGCCGCCCCCTCCTGATACTTCAGATGAGAGTAAGTGTCAATGTCAACATTTTTCTGGAATGCATCAATTTGTTTGTTAGTGTGGGAAGTGGTTTCACTCATTCTTTCCTTTGCAGTTTCTGGACTCGGATCAAGTTTGCTGCAGAGCCCTACCCGAATCATGGATGAACCAAATCCAAACTTGTTTGCATCACATCTTCAGGAGGGTTTCTATTGTTCGGACGGACAACCATTTCAACCTTTTGAAGATTTAAATCAACCCACTTGCAGTCAATTACTATCCCCAGAGAGAGTGTTAAACAGCCCCCCTCCTCTACTGCCTGTTAGTGTTCGGAAGAAAGGTCCGAGCAAACAATCACCTCAGGCTAAATCTAAATTACACCTGCCACTGCCTTATGTGCCCAGTAAGTATTGCATCCAAACTTTGTAAATCAATGTGTGTTAACTTGTATTTCGACCTATTTTATTTGACTCTTTACAGTTACTACCATTGAGCCACCTACTAGTTTACTTCCTGTTCCTGAAACCACGGATTCTTCAATTAAATCACGTAAGTTTTAATACTAGGTGCATACTTTCCAAATGACATTGCAAAACAGAAAAGGGTTGTCATTCATGATTTTTGTCCCTTTTCTTTTATTCTGAATAGTGGCTCTTGAGGGAATACTGTCAGTCGAGGACTCGAATGTTTCTGTCAGTCAGGCAACTTCAACCGTTACAAAATCTGCTACCGAGCTGATTCCACCTGATGCCATGGATCTTATTACTGAAACATGTAAGTTTCCCTTTCAAGGGGACTTAGCTACAGCCTCTCTAAAAATTAATTTCCAAAAGGTTATGTTTTCTTTGTTTTTTTTCTTTCTCAAAATAGTCACTCGAGACGAGACTTTGTCAGCTGGCAGTTCACTTCCTCCGGATGCAGATGCCATCTGGAACCACCCTAATATTGTGGACATTTTTAACTCACTTGACTTAGATGCTGATTCATTATGTGAAGGTAAGTGTTATCGAATATTTAATAATGATGTAAAGGATCTGTGAACTTGGATGGCCGGGACGAGCACAAAGCAGTTGCAGCACAGTATGAGCCACCCTCGTCATCAGCTAGACATCTTGCGGACAGTGCACCAGGACACCACCCCTCTACCCCCTGCAGGGCCTCGTCCTCTGTTCGCCCAGGCCACCACCCAAGACCCGCGCCGCCGGCCCGACTCGTGCGCCGTCGTCCTGGCCGGCCTCCCCCAGCCTCGCGCCTACCTCCCCAATGCTTGTCCTTAGCCCGCTCTACCCTGGGCGTCGTTCTACGACACCGCTCGGACCCGCGCCTGCCCGCCTTGTGCACGTCGTCGTCCTGGCTGCCCCCGCCGGGCCTCGCGCCCACCTCCTCCATGGGTCTTTATCCCGCTCTACCCTGG